CCCTGATGCCCGTTTTGGCCCCGCGCTGACCGGAGACGAGGCTTTTCTCCACCTGGACTCCGTAATGCCCCGACTGAAGGCTTGAGCGCATCTCCTGGCTGGCTCGCCACTTATAGCAGGCAGAGGCAGCGGCTCAATTTGGGCGATGGCAGCGTGCTCAGTCAGGGGAAAAGTCGGTCCCGGATGATTTGCTCTCTCCCCCCTTTCTCTCTCTCTCGCTCTTTCACTCTCTCCTCTCCCCCCTCTCTGGCTCTCTCTAATTCCCCTCTCTCTTTTTCTCTCTCTTCTTCTCTCTTCCTCTTGCTGCCTCTCTTCTCCCTCTCTCTGTTTCTCCCCACCCCCCTCCCATCTCTCTCTTTCTCCCTCCTTTCCTTTTTTCTCCCTCCATCCTCTCCATCTCTCTGTTTATCTCTCTCTCTCTCGCTATGTCTTTCCCCTTCCTCTCTCTCTCTTTCTCTCCCTCCTCCCTCTCCTTCTCTCTTTGCTCCCCTCTACTCTCTCTGTTTCTGTCCCTGTCTTCCGCTCTTTCTATTTCTTTCCCCTTCCTCTCTCTGTCTGCCTCCCTCCCGCTCTCTTTTTCCCTTTTCTCTCTCTCTCTCCCCCTCTCCTTCTCTCTCTATTTCTTTCCCCTTCCTCTCTCTCCCTCCTTCCTCTCCCTCTCCTCCCCTCATCTCTCTCTTTCTCTCACCTCCCTCTTTCTCCCCCTCTCCCTCTCTCTGCCCCTCCTCCTCTCTGTTTCACTCCCTCTCTCTATCTCCCTCTCTCTCCCTCTTTCCCTTCTTCTCTCTCTCTCCCCTCTCTGTTTCTTCTCTCTTCTTCTTTCCCCTTCCTCTCTCTATTTCTTTCCCCTTCCTTCCTCTCTCTCTCTCCCTCCTCCCTCTCCTTCTCTCTATTTCTTTACCCTTCCTCTCGCTCTCCCTCCTTCAACTCCCTCTCTTTTTCCTCCCCTCATCTCTCTCTGTCTCTCTCCTCCCTCTCTCTGTCCTTCCCCCTCCTCTCTTCCTCTCTGTTTCGCTCCCTCTCTCTTTCCCTTTTCTTTCTCTGCCTCCCTCTCTCTCTCTTTCCCTTTTCTCTCTCTCTTCCCCCTCCCTTTCTCTGTTTCTTTTTCTCTTTCGCTCTCCTCTCTGTTTCTCTCTCTCTCCTTTCTTTGTTTCCCTCCCTCTCACTCCTTTCTCTCTAATTCCCCCTTCTCTCTCTCTCCCTCATTCCCCTCTTTCTTTCTCTCTGCCCCCTCTCCTTCTCTCCATTTCTCTCCTTCTCTCTGTCTCCCTCTCTCTCTCTCTCTGACATCCCTTCGCACCTCAGCAACCGCCCAAATGTGCCCGTGTCCTCCGGCTCCCCTTCTCCCCGGTAACTGCCGTAACCGAGAATCCCCGGCACCCGCCAATTGCTCATTCGCGCTCGCTATCTCGGGAGCCTGTCTCACCCCCCCAACCCCCCCCCCCACCTCATCCTAACACCCCCGTACCCCCCATCCCTCGCTCCCTCCTTCCCTCCCTCCCTCCATCCCTGCACACCCCTCATGAGTGCATTCCGGCATGACAAACCACACGGGATTTCACTAGTCCTTTAAAGTCTGCTGCCGGTGGGAAGCGCTCCTCTCTGTGCGCCGTTTTAGTATTCCAGGGGAGACGTGACCGGGGAGGCAACCGAGGCTGTTACAACTCCTCCTCTGCCCCCCCACCACCTCTCCTCGCGTCGCATTTCCACCACTTACGAAGAGGAGGAAGTGAAAGTTTCAGGTGATCGTGGTTTTACATTACATACACGTATTAGGGAGGTTATGTCTGTAATATTCATTCATTACGTTATGTTATATCCTGTCTGTCTGTCGGCTGATCTCTTTTGATACTTTGCAGCCGATGTCAACAACGTTCCCGAGGGGTGTGATGCTAACTGCAGGCACTAATCTGTCTGAGGTTTTGTTAAACTGTAATCGGATCTTATTTTACCACAATCTACCATGAAGAATTGACGAAGGCTACGTCCAGACTGCAAGGCTCAATGCTCGATTTTTTTTCCAGAGGTCGTTCACATTTCCAATTAAATGCGACTTGCATGTGATCTCCAGTGTGAACTTTAAACGCCCCAGAAGTGTCCCGCATGCGCTTTAGAGGACACGATGACGTCACACACAGCGACAGTGCTCAGTGTTTTTGTGGAAGTCGCCCAAACATGGACGCGAGCATCGAGCACCTGGAGATTTTAAAGTTGCTGCCAGAGCCAGAACATGTACAGCTTATTTGTTTAAAGGATGAGATTGAGAAGGAGAAGGACAAGGTTTTTCATTATGGCTTTTCGTGGGGCAGTGGCAGCAATGTGTGGGTGTGGTGTCACAGTCAAGAATGATGGGATCACTATATGTTGATGACGTGTAGGTCGATGAATGCGACCTGGCCATTCAGACTGAAGTCACATGTCAAAAATCAGATATGTATCGGTTTTAGGACCACATATCCAAGTGGCCTGGGTCACATTTGAAAAAATTGGATCTGTGTCGTTCAGACTGTCATTAAAAGATCAGATACAGGAGTATAGGGGCGAAAAAATCAGATTTGGGTCACTTCAGGCTGCAGTCTGAATGTAGCCTTAGTAGGAACTACAACAGAGAGCGAGTGACTGTAATGTTAATGTTAGGAGTGCGGCCTTATGTATCATGTGACCACTTTAACCAGTCAGAGCGAGAGAAGCTAGAGTGGAGCTGAGCATAGCCGAAGCTAACGATTAAAAAGCATTTTTTAAGACAATAGACGGATTTTGACCTGAGAAAATGTGTATGATCTGAAAATAGGTAAAAAACGTCTCAAAATCCGACCTTTTTGAAAGCTGTAGGTGTCCTGTCAGCTGAACACGAGCAGTTTGTGCGTGGCCATAATGGATTGTCAAAGTCTGATCCTGTCAGATTTCAGAAGCTAAGCACGGCAGGCCCGGTTAGTACTTGGATTGGAGACCGTTGGGAAAATCAGGTACCACAGGGGGGCACCAGTTGTAAAAACTGTTGTTGTGTCCTTAGGTCCGGGTATGGAGTGAAAAAAAAAAGATCTGTAAAGTGTCTTTGTGACATATGTCTGTGAAAAGCGCAATGTAAATAAAAATGTACTTACTGACATTGCAATCTATGGGAAAAAGCCTTTCTGGGCTGGAGGGACTTTTTTCTCTGTAGTACCAGTGAGTGGCCACTACACCAACTCAACACAGCTCAAGCTCGTAAAAACCTATCCAGTTATTTTAAGAGATCCATGCATTTAAATCACAAGCTGGCTCGCCAATTACCCGGTTAGTCACTCTCACCTTTTTGATGAAAATTGAATACCTAAACATAAAAAAGAAACGCTCGTATTGATCAAAGGCTCCTGAAAATGTGCTGTGATTATATATTCTTACAAGAAATATTCAAGAGGTGAATTCACAAATGCTGAACCTGATCTTTCGTTTTAGTGGCAATTTCATGTTATTTGGTTAAAATGATGCTTCTGCAATTAGAAAAACAAAGTGGTGAAAAGAAAGCATAATTCCTGAAGTGGCTCATGGTTCGGCTGCTGCTCTGGTCGTATTGGGTCATTGATTATTGGTGAAACTCAACAAAATGTAGCCGCCTTTCACACAAATTCTGACTCTAGTACCTATTATAGATTCACATTGGGGTGTTTCTCATCAAACAATTTCTTAAACCTCTTTTTGTCAGTTCTTTTTTTTTTTATTTTAACACATAAAAGCATCACAACAACAATATACAAATTCTTAGTAATCTTCAAAACCAAAACACATTTACACATGCAACAATAGGGTTTAAGACAATGAGTAAGTTGAATCATTTTGTTTTTGGAATGCGTTTATCTCATTGGACGAGAAGAAGAAGAAGGGGCCTTTCTTCGGAACATGAACACTTGCATATCTGAACTTCAAAAATGACTTAAATTGAACACGTCCTTTACTGGCATCACTCTACCTATCGAACAGTTACAATCGCTTTTTAAACTAGAGGACTAAAAGTGATGGAGCTTAAAATATGGATCATTTTAGAGCGAATGACCTTCAAACACCACTCTCCTCTGTATCAATCATTTGGAGCTGTCAAAATCAAATGATGGCTAATCAAATTCAAAGAACCACCCCGACGTTGTGCCCCTGTAAATCAACGCCAATGAACGTTCAGGTGTTTTTGGAGAAGGAGAATAGCCGGAAGTACTTTAACATTATAAAACATGTACAGCTTGCTATATTTTGTTGTAAGTAAACAAGCAACAAGCATGTTTAGAGTTCTTTGACGTTGGGTGCATGGTATGAACTAGGGATGCACCGATACTGATAAAAATGGTGAAAATGAGCTGGATCTAGTTCCATTTGGCCTGGTTGGACCTTTAACTGAATATAATAAGACTATTTACAAGCTGATTTTGCCATAATGTTTGAACTTTTATTCATACAAAGCTGTTCATAAGTACAGTTGCATAACACAATCGGATCTCTTGTGTAATACGTTGGCTGCGATTTAAAGAAACAAGCGCTATTTTCCGTGCCTACGCTGGTATCGGTTAATATCGGATCCTGCGAGATACTTAAAGTCGTAGTATCGATATCGTTTTCGGAACTGAAAAAGCTGGATCGGTGCATCTCTAGTGTGAACATTCATTTCCATGCTATTCATTAATTAGGAGATGAAGTTTGAAAAAGATAAACTGCTCCAAAGTAAATCCAGTTTTAAAGATTTTCAGATTTTGGTGGCCGTTCCAGTTTGACAGATTCGTTGTGGTCGTATGATTGTCTGTTGGTTCCTTTACATGGGGCAGGCTGTGAAAAGCTACAGCCAGGACACTGAGAACACATTCATAGACACCAAAAATATACATTATGATACTGCCAAAAGGTACAATAATTACACAGAAAAGGAAATTACAGTTTAAAACAACACTTTCCCATGTAACCCTTTGTCAGTCCACCTCAGTGTCCGTACTTTATCTCCAAAACTTGTGGAGAAGTTTTTGGTTCTGTGTTGAACCGGTCAAGTGCTCGTGGACTTTAGAGTCTGAGTCCAGTGTCCGTGTGTACAGGGTGCCTTCACTAGAAGAACCACCGGAAAGCTTCACCGTTGCTGACAGGCGTCCTCTGTGGAGACACAAGGGGAAAAACAAGTTAAAGGAGCGGTTGGTGGAGAGTACCAATACATATCAAGAATGTGAGTAAAATAGTTGAGTTGTGAAATCAGATGCAGGTTGATATTGCAAAGCTTTGGTGGAAGTGATATCCGGTGCTTCAGTTTTTAAAAGGAGTCTCCAACCTTTTTCTTCGGGTGAGCTGCCTTTACAAAATGAAAATTCCAGAGAGCTACAAATTTTTGCGGTCACAGGACATAAAGTATACTGTACATAAGAGCCATGGTAAGACTTAACTGGATAAAACATAAACAATTATTTATTTATGAATGATAGATTTACAATAATAGTATGTACGGGTGTGCAAAAATATTGAAATATCGATATATCGTTTAATGTGATGATACAGTATTGATATCATGGGCTGCTGTATCAATATATATCCCCAAGAGTATTTTTTTGGCATATTTGACTTAATTATTTTGTTACAACGCTACAGTTTTGTTGCTTGTTCAGACGAAGGAAACTCATTTATGCAGCACATTTGACATATTCACTGTTTTGATGATTAAAATGTTTGTGTTTCTTATGAACTTTGCACAAGAAGTGGTTTAACAAAGACTTTTAGTACCACAGACATGATTTTGCCTTGATAACTGCAACGAATCGATTTGAAATGTATCATATCATAAGCTCATTGTACAGAGATATGTATCGTATTGTGGCCTATGTATCAAGGTATGTATCATATGGGCAACTTCTGAATGATACCCAGCCCTGATAGTTTGCATTTAATTCAACAAATTTAAGTTTTTCAGGACAATATGTGTCATTCAGAAATCCCTTGGTGAGCTACTTGGAAGTGGTTGGAGAGCTGCTGGTAGCTCCCGAACTACAGGTTGTCCAGGCTGCCGTATATTATGCACAACTGACTCTCGTGAGCTTTAAGCCATATCATAATGCTGTTACCTCTTCAAAACATTCCTGTTGTGTTTTGTTTCATTCACACATGTTTGGGTCTGTCTACATCTCCAAAACTCAGAAAGCTCGGTTTCACCTCGTGATGTCATGAAGTGGTCGTTTTCAAGCTAACAGACACATTTTACTTTTTGTTCAGTACAGATTTGGCAATTTCAAGACTGAAATTATCCAAATGATTCTAGTGAAAATGAATGGAGTTTAAAAAACAAAACAATGAAGCACTTCAATCCATGTATCATTTGTTTTTCAAAATAAAACCAAAAATAAGAAAACGAAAAAAAAAAAAAAAAAAAAAAGCTATTTTCTTCATTATTTGTCTCCAGAACCAAAATGAAAAAACAGATAACGATTCGTTTTCTATTATGTGTTTAAATTAATAATGGAAAAAATGGATAACGGCTGTTTCCTGTTTTCGTGACTTAAACAGGACTAAACCAGGTCTAAACCAGAACTGAACCAGGACTAAAACAGGACTAAACCAGGTCTAAACAAGGTCTAAGCCAGGACAAATTTTGGACTAGTCTGCGCTTCACCCTGTGGGGTATGGTGCTCTGTGCCGGTCCTTCCGCCTGCGGTCACTCGATGGTCTATGTGGGTGCACTTCCAGGTCCGTACCGACACTCCGTCCTGGTTCAGTTCTGGTTCAGTCCTGATTTAGTCCTCCTAGTTTAATCCTGGGACCAGTCCTGGTTTAGTCCTGGGATCAGTCCTGGTTTAGTCCTGTTTTAGTCCTGGGTTCAGTCCTAGTTCAGTCCTGGTTCAGTCCGGCAACGCAGTTTTAATCACAAAAACAGGAAACGGTCGTTATCCGTTTTTTCCATAATTCATTTAAACAGAAAATTGAAAACTGAAGAAAAATGAATCGTTATCAATTTTTTCATTTTGGTTTTGGAGACAAATAATGAAGAAAATAGTTATTTTTTTTGTTATTTTTGGTTTTTATTTTGAAAAACAAATGAACGAATGATACACGGATTCACTTACTTACACTGTTTTATCACAAACTGTAGCTGGATTGTAGCTTTAAAACATATTTTTCCCTAATAATTTTCTGTGCGCTAAAATTACATCAGACGTATTACGGCACATCTCACGAGTAACCCTCCTCATGTGCTATATAACAAGCTATCACTCACTCACACATCGAGGTCACATCAATGCCATATTTAAAACGCTCGTAATCAGACGGCGAAAACTATTTGGGGGAAATTAATATTTGAGCCACACGCCTAAACTGAGTATTTCATCAAAGTGGCAGCCAAGGTGATTACATCCATGTCCCACCCACACCCAAATAATCATTACACTGGATGAAATATTCAATACAAATTCCCCAGAAACAACAATGAGGCATTTAATTACTGCGCTCCGGAGCAGCAGTGAGGGGGAACAGTGCATCATTTCAATTTGAGCCCCCGCCAGCCTCCGCCCCGCCTCCCCCCGCCGCCACCTCTACGCCGCCCTGACAACCTCTCCTTCCCAAACTCATTTAGAAGTCACACACCGAAAATACTCAAGTTTCCAAGCAATCCCCATGACCAATTAGCACATTTGCTTGATTTTTTAAATTTATTTTTTGACAGGAAGGGGGAGGAATGGCGCATAATCGCAACAAAAATCAGTTTAGTCTGAGAGGAGGGTAATTTGACATTTTAATACTAAGTGTCATCTCTGGCTGCTTAAAGGGTGCATGAGCGTGGGGGAGCGGAGTCCTACAGCTGTGCCGCTTATGAAGCTAACGCAACATTACAGGCAATGGTAGCAAGCCAAAACTTTAGTTAGAACCATATACTCAAGCTGTGGGCTAATGGGAAGAAACCGCAATCTTATTTTTGTGGTTTGGAAAGAATTATGGGTATTTATGTAGAGGTTAATGGATGGAGGCAGGATACCGCACACAGGCGCAGGTTCTGCTTATAAAACTTTATTACAACCAGGGGTGGGCGATATAGAGAAAAATTAATAATGCAATATTTTTTGGAGTATGGAGTATGCTGGTAACAATGCTCAGATATTACGTCAGTGCATCTGAAAAGAGTTAAAACACATATTTTAAATGTTAAATTAGACCACATGTGAAACCTACAAAAGTGCAAAAATGATTTATATACCCTTATTTGTAATCTTACTACATTTTTTTTTCAATTTAGGCAATGTTTATATGATGACGGTCTGAACAGAAGACGCGAAAGTGGCGCCGCGTTTTCAATTTTTATTATACTTTTTATACTTTTTTATTCTGCAAGCGTTTTTGTGAGAGGAAATCTGCGAGCATACAGTGACGCAAAAGGTGTGTGGAATCAATTGGATTGGGTATGCATGCCAAGTTTCTGTGTACTGTATTTATGTGATGTAAACGCGTACGCGACGTGAGCAGATCTGACCAGAGTTTTGCGTCTTGGACAGTGTAGACGGAAACGCTGCGACGGAGCGTATTCAGCTTTTCCACTCTGGAGGGTGGTTTCAGATTTTAGCGTTTTTAAGCCCCAAAAATGCCGTCACCGTCTAAATGAAAGGCACTTCAAATACAATATTTTGTCGTTTTTACTCGCAAGTGTTCTTATGTAAACAGATAATTTTTGATCATCTCATTTTGCGTCATTTTCTTAAACTACAAACCATATATTTGCACATCTTCATAACAACATTCACAATATTAACTATTATTTTTACCTATTTATGCCACATCTTGTCCAGTTTAGCCTTGCTCAGCTTTCCCAATTTAGAGAAAAACAAAATTCCAACCAGGGGAGTCAACAGGGGGGCTCTGTTGTCCCACATCCCAGGATTTTAGGGGCTCAGTATTGGACCTTCTTTCTATCAATTTAGATTAAAGGGGGCCCATGTGATTCTTCTTGCCCCAGGCCCCCAAATTTCTGTCGACGGGCCTGATTCCGCCTGCATTTTGTCTTTTACGTACAACTTAAATGACATAATATTACAGAACAATAAGCAATAATTAAACGGTACAGCAAACAGGACTGAGAAGAGACAAGGAAAGCTTTACAGACCCGCCGCATTAACAAGGGAAATAGGTTTGACAGCTAAGCTAACAGTCCATGTTACTGGATTCTGGAGCTGTTTGTCTCCTTGCACCATTTAATGCCTGACTAACTTCCATTAAAAAGACAGAGAGATCACACGTGCCCAATTGTATTTGTATAGGCCTGTACGTTAAAAAATATATAGCGTATAAGTTAATTATTGGAGCGGAAAATTCCCTAACCAGTCAGTGTATATTGGCTCAAGATAAAGGACATAATTTAGTAGTCAAAAGGCTGTCACACAAGCTCTGTAACTCAAGAGAATGGCAACTAGCCCAATCTAATATTATTAAAAGGCATGCGCTCTACTGTCTTTACTTATTTATTTAATTTTAAAACTGTTTGCAGCGGCCCAACGTTATTATTCATTTACTTTTATGAACATATTAATAGGCTCTATTCACGCTTACGTCACAAAACCGGAATACGTTTGGAAACATGCGGACAACATTTGGGCTCTGTTGGTGAGAAAATCTGGGAAAACTGAGAAAATGGCCTGCTTTTCTTCATCTAGATGTCATTGTCCTTTTATAAATTGCCTATTAACTTGTATACAATAATTTGACTAATTAAAAAAACAAAACAAAACGATGTCATTGTAACGTTCCATTATGTTTGGCAGATCAACAGTTACAACCAGCTGCCTGTAAGTGATGTTGAAGATGTGATTAGAGTCACGTCCCTAACCGGAAAGCTTTGGCACGTTGTGAAGACGCTGCTGCTGAATCCACAGAGTTTTATCACATGCCCAGTGTCGGGAACTACACCGGAAGTCATCATCTGCGTGTTTCCAAACGTTTTCTGGTAAATGCGAATAGAGCCTATTATTATTATTATTATATTCACCTCAATGAGTTTATAAGTGCTTTCCACAACTTTCAGAGATGGAGTCTTGCCATCACAGTAACGTTAATAACAACTAGCATGTTAACACAAACTTCCTGATTATTGTGAAGTAAAATGCTTTATGTACGCTTTACAATGAGGA